AAAAAATTTTTTTTTGATTATTTTATGGTTGCTGTGTTTGTAATAGGTTTTTAAAATAAATCAAATTAATTTTTTTATTAAAACGAAAAATTCAATAAATTAAATTCAAAAACATAGGTTTTTCTAAATACTGAAAACTGAATGAGCTTATTATTGCACATATTGCATTTGGCAAATTAAAACATTCAGTTTTACTCGGAAAAAAAGCAGAAAAAACTAGAAATATATCGGGACATCTCATGGAATAGACTATGAGGTCTGCACCCACAGTGTGACGTCGGCATTGCACTTCGACCCTCTCTCTCGCAGCAGCGTTGTTAAGGCGACAGCTAAAACTAACAGAGAGTTGTGCCAGTGCAAGATCCTTCGTGTCGCTGCTACGCACACAAGCAAGAGTTCCGATCACTGACAAATACATATGTACATTTCTAACAGCGTGTTTTGATGCTCAAATTTTGAACTATGGCAGTATTTTTTCCGGCACAACGCAATATCCGGTTAAATTTTTCAATTTTCTTGAAAAATTTCATTCTTATAAGCGGTTTGTCGCTAAAAGCGGAAACGCTCTAAGCGGAGGCCCTTTCATACAACTTTGTATGGGGACCAACCAAACCATCGAGTTTTCGTCGCACAACCCGGACGGACACTATAAGCGGAGTCGTTATAACAGGATTCTACTGTACTTTAAATCTCCTTAAGGCATATATTACGGCTAAAGTTTCTAATTTAAAACTTGCGTATTTCGATTCAGTTTCTGAAGTTCTCTTCGAAAAATACAAAATTGTTATCACTTTTCTTTTGCATCAAAACCGCTCCCAACCCTAATGCACCGGCATCACAATGTAATTCTGTCTCATCGTTATAATTACAAATTACTAACACCGGTGCATCTAATAACTTTTCTTTTTACAACTCAAAACAGTTTATTTCCTTTTCTCCAAATTCAAATAATTGATCTTTTATTTTGAACCAACTTGTCAAACACCTCACTTAAAATACTTATAAATGTTCTTCTACATTTCTACTTGCTATCATTATATCGTCCATATAAACTACTACTTTATTTTCTCTTATTAAATCTGCAAATATAGGGGAATGTTGTCAGGGTTGGGCCATATTTTGACCTATGTCCATAAGTTCTGAACGAATGATAAATTAGAATAAGTTTATACATTTTTGGAAAGGTACAAGCAAGAGAAAGTGTTCACCAAAAATTGAGAATAAAAAAAAAAAAACAAAAACAAAAAAAGTTATAGGTGTTTGAAAAAAAAAAATGTAGTCAGCGTTGGTCCATGTTGTCAGGGTTGGGCTACCTTCAGAAAATCGTTGACAATATCGTAACGTGGTGGAATAAAATTGAATTCAGGTAAATCTGACATTATTTTGTTCATTTATTTAATTATTTGGGATTTTACAGTAAATATCAAATTATTCAGAGTTGTTTTTTGATTGCAGTGAGAAACACTAAAGAAAAAGATAAAAATGATTCATCTTCTTTTAATCCATCAAAATATTTTTTTTAAGGAAATCTATTTAATTTATTTTGCATATTTATGCTACAAAAAACTTAAATATTACAACAAAAATCGAAAATACACGAATAAAATGTAAAAATTATGATGGCCCAAGCGTGACTACATAAGTGGCCCAACCCTGACGACATGCGGTATTAATCTATTATGGTATGATATAGCCAAACTACATATATCTATCAATGAAACTATATCTTAGTATTTTGTAATACAACAACTATATAACGTATTTTTATGCTCACTTTGCGGATGACTTGTTGTAATCTTTTGTTATTCCCCCTTTTCGGCCAGGTTTAAAAAAATTTTTTGAGCACTTTTTTTCACAACGACACGTAGAAAAATAAAATCCCGAAATAAGTAGTCACGTGGAAAGTTTCGAGTGACCGATAGAAGTTTCTAGACACCCACAAACAGATGGTACTAGAACGAATATTGAAAATATTGAGATGGCCCAACCCTGACAACGGTCCAACCCTGACAACATTCCCCTACCGTTGTCTTCGATGATTTTCTGCCATTTTGATGGTAACTTGTATATGCCTCTCCTAAAGAAGTCCTTGTCCCTACTGGCAAAAATCTCGGCGATTCGATTTTCACAATCCTCCCTTAAACTCAATTTTTGTCCATCGAAAAAATTTTGCATGGCCAAAAACAGATGGTAATCGCTTGGGGCAATGTCCGGACTATAAGGTGGATGCATTAACACTTGGTTTGGTCATAGGGCCACACTTCATAATAAATAATTCCTCTGATATCCCACCATTCACTCAGCAACACCTTCTGAGCCGTCAGTCCTTGCTTTGCCACCGTTTGAGACGACTAACCGTGCTTTGACCAGGATCTTTTACGCTTTATGTTGTCATATGTGATCCATTTTTTATCACCAGTGACTAACCGATCCAGAAATGAGTCGAGTTTATTACGGTGCAACAAAGATTCGCAGATTGATACACGGTTGAAAAGGTTTTTTTGGCCCCCATACATCGAGCTTTTTGTTAAATTTATCGACTTTAAATGCCTATGGACGGTTTCCGTGCTTAGTTGCAGCTCCTCTGCGATGGTTCTAATAGTCACATGACGATCTCGATCCACTATTTCCATGATTTTATTCGTATCAACGGTCACTGGTCGTCCGGAAGGCTTGGGTTTTTCGGCATCAAAATTGCCACTTCGGAATCCCCTAAACCACTGTTCGGCGGTTTGAATCGAAAGTTTGTTATCTCCAAAGACAGCAATAATCTGTCTGCGAGATTCCGCAGTTGTTTTCCCTGTGCAAAATAGAATTTCAAAATTGCCCGAATTTCTGCGTTTGTGAACTCCATTAAAATCGATTGTAATTTTTTAACTTAAAGCTCATGTAAACAATCTACATATGTCATTTTAAAGGTGATGCCAATACCTTTCAAACGATATAAAACATTGCCAGATACGATTATATTTGACTTCACAAGCGAAGCGCGAAATTTGAATGTAAAAACCGGTATGTCATTACCAAACAACCTAATATTTGCAGCATTTCTTCTTCAAAATTTTCTACTAATACTCCTGTATCTGTTTCCCCACTATTTCCTTTTCTTTTACTCCAACTATTTTTCTATCATTTGTTTTTTCTCTTTCTTAACTATGTGTACTAACTATTTCTCTCTCATTTGTTTCTTCTCTTTCTTTACTTTGTATACTAACTATTTCTCTCTCATTTGTTCTAACAATTTCCATATCCTTTTCTTTCTCTAAAATTTTCCTTATTATTTGTTATCCGTATTTCCATTATTTTTTCTTCATTTTTTTCATTTCGTCGTCTAATTTTTTAATTGTCACCCAATATTACATCATACCTCATAGATTGTGGCTGAGGACCACAATCAGTAATTGAAAATAATTATTTATTAATTTCTTTTTACATAACAATAAGTTTTTCCAAACGTTTTTAATTGGCTATTATTAAGCCCAACATAAGTATCTGTTATAGGTTGTTATTTTACATTAAATGGAATACACTTAATTTTAACCAAGGAGACTGGGCTGCCCGAATCTAAGAGGCACTCTGCAATTATAAACTTATCAATATTATCTTCAAAATATATCTTCAAATATCTTACATATTTATTGTCTCCTGCTATCTTCCTCATAGGGCACACTGCTACCAAGTGGTCCTTGTCTCCACACCCATAGCATGTTCCCGGTTCTCTTTTGGGCTTCTTGCAGTCTCTGGCCCAGTTTCCCTTGGAGTTGCAATTAATACAACGCGTGTCCATGGGTACGTTGTTTTTTTTTTTTGCTGCACCTTGAACGGCTGCTTTAGTATCTGCTGGCAAACGGATTTTGAAAATTTGAAAATGCCTGCAGCATGTCTTCTGGAGACTGGAACCGCTGAATTCGACCCTGGTTCTGTAGATTTTCGTCTGGCATGCCTTCGATTATGCCATCCAAAAGTTCTTCCTCGTCGATGTTGAGATCTTGGACAAACATGAGCTTCTCCTCGAAATACATGGCAAAATTTTCTCCTGCTTGCCACTTCCGCATATGAAATTTACGCCTCATTTCCAATTTCGATGAATGACCTCCGAACGCCTTTATCAACTTCTCCAGTAGTTGGTCTACTGGTTCACCAATCCTTTTGGGATCAGAATGCAACCATTGAAACGCCTTTCCTTTAAGACTGCCAATACATAACAACTTTCGTTGCTCTTCAGTCAGTTTGAATATACGTGCAAACTCCAATACGACATCTTTTCCTGCTTGAAATGCACTTGTTGAACCTCCGCATACATATTTTGTCTCAGTGTCATTCTTCATTTCATTTCCACCGTCGTTAACATTGTCCTCTTTGTTGTCTTCGCTGCTTTTGTCGATCTGCACACCGTTACTTTTGTGTTCTCCTTTAATCCTTTCGCTTCCAGTATATTCGCGGCAATTCTGTTGTCGTTGACTTTCGGCGCCAGCCTTCTTTTGAAATGCGGCGTACTCATAACATTTCTGCTGATTTCGTCGTTATTCTTCTGCTTCTTCGACCTGCATGTTCTCGTCTCGGAGCAAACCTCTAGCATTTTCGATTTCATCATAAATGTCGCGCAGTTTCTTAGAACCTTCGAGAATTTTCTGTCCTTGTTGCTCCAGTACCTCATGCATATCTTCTTCCTCCAGTTGCTCCAATTCGTTCGTAGCTCCTTGTATATTTGCTTCCAACTGGGGGCATGACCACGGCGTTCTGCTGGCACAATGATTAGGCGAGTTACTAATTCTGCTTTGGAGCCCATTGTTGGTAACCCCAACGCCGCCAACCATTTTTTTAACATCTTCACTGTCACTTTATTAATGTCAATTTCTGATTCCTTTTACGGTTTCCTTTTAGATTCGCCCACTTCTGAATTTGTGGCAGGTGATATTAGTCAGTTGTTTGTTTTTTTTTACCGTTGCAAATCTTAAAAACTGAAATATTGTTATGCAAGCTTAAAACTAAGATCTTACCGCAACTTCGACACTAGATGGTGGATATACTCGGGTTGAAACTTTTGTACTTTTACAGTTATCAAAGCACCATTGCGCGTATTGCCTAAGTTTTCCATCTAAATGCTTTATACTTTTTTTTATAAAAGAAACAAAATATCTGAAATTAAAAGATTTTTTATGTTTAATTTAATAGTGGACACATCAGATTAGGTTAATCTAGGTCTAGATTAATACATTTAAAAAACTGTGGGAAATAATTTAAATGGGGTAAACAAACCCACATTTGATGGAAATGGAAATTCAAAAAAGTCTAATAACACAGTCTTACAAAATTCAAAAAATTTTTTGCAACGGAGATGGGGTGTTTTTTTTTTTTTTTGGGGGAGGTGACGGAAGACTACAAAAAACATCAAAAAAAAGGGGTACTTAGTTGTAGAAACTTCGCAGTAGAGGCAATATTTAATTGTGGCCAGAAGTTTGCAACGCAGTGAAGGAGACACCTCAGACCCCATAAAGTATATATATTCTTGATCAGCATCACGATCTGAATCGAAACACGTCTGTTGTAATGGTACGGCTGGTAATTGTTTTTGCCACAGCCTCGGTTGGAGAGGGAATCGGAGGCTCAGTGCACTATGCTGCGCTTTGCGCTCAGCTCGCCGGTATTGGGGTCGGGGTTTTTCCTATCCCTATGTTCTCCATGTGTGGTGACATGATAAATGAAAGTACACTTTCTGACTCTACTCTACTAAATACAAAAAAATAACCAAAAATATCAGCATAATGATCCCCATCGGTATAGTTGATAGAAAGAGGCAAGCAAACACGGTTGTGGTGATCTTAGTTGGTATTGATCACCCGTTCTGTACCCGCCCTACCTTGGTAATGATATGGAAGTTTGGCATTACCCCTAACACAAAATCAATACGTGTTTTAACCTCGATAATTCCTCGGCATTATGTAATTAGACAGACTCAGCGATATCTTCAAATGTTCATACTTTAATTAAATTCCAAAGATGATAATATTTATAATTATACATTTTCATTTTTCTTCCAAAGGGTTGTACTTAATTTTCAAATTATTTTGCTCTAGATTAATTTTAATTTAAATGCTAAGAAATTTAACTTCATTCATTGTAAATTTAGCAAAAGCCTAACGCAAGAATGTCAACTTCGGTTGTACCCACTAAGGGTTAATTCATTTCCAAATAAGTCCAAGTACCACTTACATTAACCTACAACAAGATCTTGGGCCCAACAAACTGTTTGTAGCTGTGGAACAAGCTTTAGTAAATATATTTATATAATATATGTAAATGAGTATGCAAGTTATCCAACCCATGAAACTATGCTTCTTATGGCATTTATAAACAATTTCCAAAATTCAATCTTAGCGATCTTCGCATTCGCCTTTGCCATTGCCTGCCTTTGTCTTTGAGGTCCGCTCTTGGATCCCCAACCGAAATAAACAAATCAAACTTAAAGTAAACATCAGCTTCCGTTCGAAGCCCAATCAATTGCGCCTTCCTCACTCCAAGCCCCAAATAAACTGCATTGGTCAGCATAATTGAATTTCACAATAGGATGCGACACTTACAGCATGAGCTTTTATTTTAAACAAAAAGAAACTTCTTGAAGTTCAAGAAAAGCTTTTGGCCGATGTTCTTTGGATCAGATTAAAGATTTGGCAGTCAGTCTATTTTTGACCCGAGCCGCGTTCAGTAACGGAATTTTAAAGTTAAGCAAAATCTTGTGTAAAAATTATATATTCAAATAAAGGTTTATCACCAAGTGAAAATTAAAATAAAAAATTTTATTTTTTTTAAAAAGTTTCCGGGAGTAAATTAACTGGCGCCCAACGTGGGGCGGTGTCATAAAAAGTTCGTTTTTAAATTAATGATAACAAATTAATTAAAACTAAACGCAACTCGCGCCGCCAAAAACCCAAACAATTTTTAGTGGAAAAAAATTAAAAAAAATCCATCACCAATCGACGATATATTGTGATCGCAAAATACCCGGAAATAAATTATAAAGGTGGACCGAAAGAATTATTTTTTTTTACACAAAAACAGAAATTATAAACCAAACAAAAATTTAAGTGAAAATCAAAAATAAACTAAACAAAAAAAACGTGGAGAAAAAGTTAAAAAACAAATTAAAAGTTAAAGTTAAAAGAAAACCAGGGAAATTAAAAAGAACTTTTCAAAAATAGAAGGAAGGGCTGAAGGGCATTCCCTCGCCAAACTCAACACGACAACATTTAAAAACACTTAAGAAGGAAGGATGGGCTGAAGGGCATTCCCTCGCCAAAATCAACACGACAACAATCAAATTAACCAAGAGGGAAGACGTGACATCATCAAGGAAATTAAAACAAAAAAAAACTAAAGAAATCGTAAGAATTAAGATATAATGTAATTTAAGGAATAAAAAGATAAAAACTCATAATTTACCCTGGAGAATCTAGACGATTTATTATATTTATTTAATAATTTAAGAATGGCCGAAGAGCCAAGCACAAGTAAAATGGCAAACACAGAATTACAAAAACATGTATTATTGACACAAGAATTAATAAAGCAGATTGTTTCATCCGAGGTTAATTCCCTTAAACGAGAAATCGAAACTTTAAAAACAGAACTTCAAACGAATGTAAACAAAGTAGAAGACTATAATACCGAAGAAATTGACAATTCAATAAGATGTGAGGAATCATATGAAATTGTTAAATCAGTACCAGAATTTAAAGGAGAACATGAAAAATATGTTAGTTGGAGGGAAGCAGCAGAGAACGCTATGAGCCAGTACACCCGAAAAAGTAAGCGATATTTCTCAGCATTATCAATACTAAGAAATAAGATAACTGAAAAAGCAAATGATGCTTTAACAATTCACGGAACAGCTTTTAACTTTGATGCCATGCTGGCCAGATTAGATTTTATTTTTAGCGATAGGAGACCTCTTCACATAATTGAACAGGAACTAAGCATTTTAACCCAGGGCAAACAAACTATTATGGAGTATTACAATCAGGTGTACAGAAAACTTACTCTGTTAACCAATAAAACAATAATGACATATGGCAGAAATAAGCCAATAACTTCTGAAGTTAATAATAGACATAGACAGAGTGCTCTGAGAGTTTTCATAACTGGCCTAAACGGCCCAATATCTTCAACTCTGTATTCCATGAACCCAACAGACTTGCCAAATGCATTAGCGTTAGTACAGGAGATGGAAAGCAACAATATGAGAGCAAAGTTTGCTCATAACTTCATGGGAATGAGTTATAGAAATTATAACTCAAATTATAATAACGAATCACAGCAAAATGGTACTACTTCTAACCATAAAACATCCAACAATAACAATTCTACTTATTTAAGGTATAATCAAAGAGCCTCAAAGCAAGAGAATAATAACCAGTGGAATCAGGGACAAAATAATAATATTCAATGGGGTCAAAGGAATAATAACCGGTGGGGACAAAACAATAACAATCAGTGGGGACAAAATAATAATTGGAAACCCAATAATAATCAGGTACAGCCAGCTGCAGAACCAATGGATGTAGATGAATCAATCCAATATCAAAATCGTCCGAATAACAATTTTTATAGAGGTTATAATAACAAGCGAAACTATAATAATAATGATCCCAGAATTAGTTTTTATCAAAATAAAGCTCAAAGGGAAAATACAAACGCTGGTCAAAACAAACAGTCTGAACCACATCAACCATTAAAGCGAGAACCATCAGGATCAGTAAATCAACCCGTTCAAAAAACAATGAGAGTAAATAATATAGAAGAGGATCATTTTTTAGGTCAGAACCCGGAGTAGGATTACCCTACTTGAAAAGAACAGATAAAAAAATCCAAAGGGAATTAAAAATTTTAATTGATACAGGTGCAACATCCTGTTACATAAAAAAGGGAATATACCAAAATAAAAATGAGCTTCCGATTTACAAAAGAGTTTCAACCATTAATGGGTTTACTATAATTAAATATTACCATATGGTAACCATATTTAATATAAAACAAGTTTTTTATGAAATAGAAGGATTAGAATCCGACTTACTAATAGGTTTTAATCTCCTAAAGAAAATAGGAGCTGTAATTAATATTCAAAGAGGAACTATTAATTATAACGGCAAAGAAGAAAAATTATTTTATGATGAAGATAATTCATTAAATCAATTGTCGTTAACTAAGGAAAAAATTATTCTTCCATTAAAAGAGTATATAATAAATAAATACTTTGATGAGCAAAAAGAAATCCAACCAGAATCTGTAATGGTTGAAAAAAGTTCATTCAGCTTGGGATCTACAAATCCTGAGCACGCCGACGTAGAATTATCCGTCAACAAAAAATTAAAAAAAAGCTTGGGATCTAAAAATCCTGAGCACGCCGACGTAGAATTATCCGTCAACAAAAAATTAAAAAGTTTGGGATCTAAAAATCCTGAGCACGCCGACGTAGAATTATCCGTCAACAAAAAAATTAAAAAAGTTTGGGATCTAAAAATCCCAAACGCATCGACGATGATTTATCCGTCATAGAATTTAAGAAAAATAAAATAAATAACATTAAAATGTTAAACTCAAATCAAGTTGAAGATTTGAAGAAAAAAATAATTGACTTAATTGAAACAGAACATTCAAAAATAAATTTACAAATTCCATTCAGAACAGATATTAGAGGTGAAATAAACACCAATATTGACAGGCCTATTTACAGTAAACAATATCCCTATGCCTTATCAGTTTCAGATTTCGTTAATAGTGAAATTAGCAGAATGCTAAATGAAAATATTATAAGGCCCAGTAGAAGTCCTTACAATTCACCAGTATTGGTGGTACCCAAAAAAGGTCAGAATGAAGATGGTAGCCCAAAACATAGGCTTGTAATAGATTATAAAAAATTAAATGAAAACACAATACCGGATAGATACCCGATGCAAGACCCGTCTGTAATATTAGCCAACTTAGGGAAGGCTAAATTCTTTTCAACAATTGACTTGGAATCAGGATTCCATCAAATTTTAATGAAGGACTCAGATGTTGAAAAAACATCCTTTTCCATTAACAATGGAAAATTTGAATTTTTACGCATGCCATTCGGTTTAACAAATGCACCCAGAATTTTT